ACAATGATGAAAAAATTGCGCCAAACGGAAATCAGAAAGGGTTTCATTAGAGGTGTTTTGTGAAATTTCCCGCGGCAGCATCGCTGGACTTTATTCGCGGTTTCCGGCCAATCAGCTGGTCTTTTTCCTCTGATTTGGCCATATGAGTGTTTAAAATTAAATTCCAAGCAAAGGGAGAAACTTTTACTTTTTTGGCGGTTGGAAATAGCTCCGGCGCGGAGCCGGGTGGCGGCGGCTCTCATTCCCAGCGACTGGATATTCTTCTCTGGTGATGGTGTATGGTGGCTAGGGTTAGGGTTTAGTATGAAGATGATTATTTATATCCGTTCTCGTTTAATCTAAACCGTCCATCGCGTTTGATCTGGATAATCCGATCGCGATTAAATAGGAAGTGAATTTAGGCCGTTCATCACGATCTAATCTAGGCCGTTCATCCCAATCTAATCTTAACTGTTCGATCGCATTTAAATATGACCGTCCGATCACGTTTGGGGAGGAAACGCATCCAGGCTGTCCGTGCGTGCAGGAACGGACCTGGGTCGTTTGATTACGGGCATGCAGATCGCCCGCGTGCCCTCCTGTGTGGCACCACGTCAGCGTTCGTTGCCACGCTGCGGGTTCTGGTTCGCCGGAGCTGCTGACCGGGCAGGATTATGTGGCTCAAATTTTGTAAAATGCATTTTGACTTACATTTTTTTATTTTTCTTTCAAAAATATTCACATAACTCAAATTTTTACCATTTTTTTCTTAAAATCATTTTCAATTCCATCATCCATTAAATTTTCTTTATTTTTACATTAAATTAAAATATAAAAAAATTAAAAAATTGTATAAATTAATTTAATTTATATTAAATTAAAATTGGGCGTTACATATCAAGTCCAATGCGGAAACACCACAACCTCCCTCTGCTCATAAAACCAAAGTTGTATCAGAGGATAAATGAAATACACTGGCAGAGATCAAAAGACATTTGGCAGGCAGAGTAAACCCTGTTTGAAGAAGGAAACAATCAACACAATTTATCATCAAAACAAAGCAAATCGAGTTAAACCAACAAACAAGTTAAATACTTGAATTAAAATAATAAATAATACACTACTCGCCAAAACTACAGAAATACGTATCCCCACAGCAAATAACAAATAACGCATGGCGAGTTTTGCAAATTTAGAGGAGTTTTTACCCAATTGGATAAAAAGAAAGCTGACACAATCAAAGGGAATAAAAGACGGAAGAAAAAACTAACAGCCAACCAACCGTAAATAATAAAAAAGCTCAACAAGAAATCAATCGATGCACTCTGGAGCAATGAACAGAAATTTGACGCACAAGAAATCAATAAAGATCAAGAAAAGACAAACCCCTCAAAGAAAAAAAGAAACCCCAGTTTCTCCTTAAGTGACCTTCAAATTGAACGTATGCACGAAAACTCTGAAACGCAGGACGAGAAGATAATCTACGAACAGCTAATAAATACAGAAGAAACCCTAGCCAAAAAAAATAACCATGCTGGGTGAAGAAGGAGAGAAGCCAAGAGCGGGATGCGAGAGCTAAGGGATTAAGACAGAAGAGGGGGTCGTTCTTAATATACTGTGCATAATACAGATATATTTATAATAATTACAAAATAATACATATATATTTGATTATTAATAAAAATTCAAAGTATAGATATATTTATAATTATTGTACTTATAGTGATGAGAAAATAATACAAATAGATAAAAATATATGTATTCAATTATTAATGAAAATAAACTTTTATTATTGTTGTTTATATAAAAACTGTTTATATAATTTTTAAAATAACTTTTTAGCCAATAAATTATAAAGACTTATAGTATACAACAGTTGAGATAATATAATATTTATATTTTATTTTTAAAAAATAATTTAATTTCTGTATAATGTATCAACACTCATTTGTTCTTTGATTTTTCAGGAGGGAAAGGTGTTGGTGTTTTTAATTGTTAAGGGAAAAATGAGACAATGTATCTCAACTCTCAGAAGAACATTGAATTCGCAACAAAACCCAGTCTTTCTCCTTGATTGTTGCAGATCACTCAATCAAATCAAACAAGCTCATGCTCAATTGATCACGACAGGTTTAATCCTGCACCCCATCACTGTCCATAAGCTTCTCAAAACGCTCGCGGAGTCGAGCTTTGCTTCCCTCTCTTATGCACACAAGTTGTTTGATCAAATTCCCCAACCAGATATCTTCATCTACAACACCATGATCAAAGCAAATTCACTAACTCATACTTCTTGTCTGAATTCTCTTGTGATATTCCGCTCCATGATCCATCTCTCTGGCCTTCTTCCTAACCGTTACTCATTTGTCTTCGTTTTCAAGGCATGCGGTAAAGGGTTGGAAGTCTTGGAGGGGGAGCAAGTTCGCGTACATGCGGTCAAGGTTGGTTTAGAGAGCAATTTGTTTGTTTCCAATGCGTTGATTGGAATGTATGCGAGTTGGGGTCTGGTGGATGAGGCTAGGAGGGTGTTTGATGGGAGCCTCAATCGGGATTTGTACTCGTGGAATATTATGATGGCTGGGTATGTGGGAAGAGGTGTAATGAATCAAGCTAAGGACTTGTTCGATGAAATGCCTGCACGAGATGTTGTGTCATGGAGTACTGTTATAGCTGGTTATGTACAGGTAGAGTATTTGAGAGAACAAATGAAGGGAATTACTGATGTACTATTTTTCTTATTGATAATTCAACTCAACGAGTAGCTTATTATGAGTTTAGGAGAATCAAGTCCTAAAGCTAGCTATTAAGGAGGGATAACCCAAATTCCTACAAATCCTACACCAGTCACACGCCTTTGATGCACTATCCAATTTACTTTAGACATAATAATATCTGCAGTCTCCATGGCCATGCAGACTGGCTTTGCTTATTATGAGGTTAGGAGAACCACATCCTAAAAGCTAGAAGAGGTGGGAGAACCCGAACTCCTATAAATCCTGCACCAAAATCACGCGCCTTTTATGTAGGATTTAAATTATTTTACCGCATAATAACATCTCCAGCCCCGACGCCCATGCAGACTGCCCTCGCAC